CTAAGATGTATACCTACAACTGTCATGTGCGTCATGGGTTGGTGTTATTATTTACAAGATCCTTTATCCAACTTTGTGACCTGGCTGAACTATTTTTTGAACATAACCTCTGCCCCCAAATCCTCCGGCAAATTCCTGATAAGGCCGACTATCCCCCCGGGTGGCTCCGTATAACAGCAAGCTAGTAGAGGCCCATTTAAGTGTGTACTGAACCAGGACCATGGGTAGATTTATCCCGTGTGGGTGCGATTAGTAAGCAAGCTGACTTGAAGGTAGTGGTGATAGGGTTGTAAACAGTGTGAACCATTGTATTATGGATGCGGCGAACCCCTCAATATGGTAGCGGGGCCATCTTTCAGGCACCAATTTTGCATTTCGCTTGGGCGGGCCTTTCGGCATAATCCTCCCATACCCTGGGGCCGGTACCCCAGCTCTGGTGTGACGTCCCCTGCAGAGACTCCCATAAACCGGCTTCGCAGCTGCACACCCTCAGCAGATGACCGATGCAGATAGTGGTGAGAAACCCCGGTGTCAACATGTAGTCTGGTGGTGGTGGGGGGCAGGTTTCGAACCCTCGACCACCTGGATGCCTCAACACCCAGATGTTCGCAGCGAATGGACCACTACACCATCGCGCCCCCAGTTCAAGTTGTTGTTTGGCTGTATTGATCAGTACTTTACAGTGCCCCACCCATTCCTGCAGGAATCCACAGGAATCCACAGGAATCCTCAGGAATCCTCAGGAATGGGACAGGATTCCTCAGGAGTCCTCAGGAATGGGACAGGATTCCTCAGGAATGGGACAGGATTCCTCAGGAGTCCTCAGGATTCCTCAGGAATCCACAGGAATGGGACCAGAATACAACAGATACAACACCTTCTCTTTGTGCTAGATACATTTACACTAATATACACTTCTTCACACTGACTTAAAGGATATCAATACTTTCTTATAAAATTTATATATTAAAATTCAAATATACATCTAATTTACTATTTTCTAAGTTAAATGAAGG